AATAACAAAAAAACAAACAATCCAATCCAGTTCAAAAATGGGCAGAGGAAATGAATAGACATCTTTCCAAAGAAGACATACAAATGGGCAAGAGGTACATGAAAAGGTGCTCAATATCGCTAATCATCAGGGCAATACAAATCAAATCCACAATGAGATATCACCTCACACCTATTAGAATGGCTATTATCAAAAAGACAAGAGATAACTGTTTGCAAGACTGTGAAGAAAAGGGAACCCTTGTGCACTGTTGGTGGGAATGTAAATTAGGTATAGCCACTATGGAAAACAGCATGGAGGTTCCTCAAAAAATTAAAAAACAGAACTCTCATATCTAGCAATCTCATTTCTAGGTATACATCCAAAAGAAATCAAAATGGGATATTGAAGGGATATCTGCACTCTCATGTTTACCACAGCATTATTCACAGTAGCCAAGACACAAAAACACTCTAAGTGTCCATCAACAGATGAATGGATAAAGAAGATGTGGTATAATATACAAAAGAATATTATTCAGCCAATAGAAAGAAGGAAATCCTGTCATTTGCAGCAACATAGGTGGGCATTATGCTAAGTGAAATAAGTCAGATAGAGAACTACAAATACTGTATGATATCACTTATATGTGGAATTTAAAAAAGATGAACTCGTACAAACAGAGTAGAGTGGTGGTTGCCTGGGGATGGGGGAAACGGGGAGATATTGGTCAAAGGGTACAAATTTCCAATTACAAGATGAATAAGTTCTGGGATCTATGCACAGCATTGTGATGATAGTTAATAATAATGTATTATACACTTGAAAGTTGTTACGAGAGTAGATTTTAAATGTTCTCACCACGAAAAAGTAACATCATTATGTGACATGATGGAGGTGTTAGCTAATGCTATGGTGGTAATTGTTTTGCAATACAGAAGTATATATCAAATCAACACATTGTAAACTTGTAAACTTACACAATGTTATATGCCATTTATACCTCAATAAAGCTGGAAAAAAAAGAAAAAAGAAAAAAATCCTATTTTCCAAAAAAAAGAAACAAGGGTTCTTTGGAGAAATAGTTGATTTCAGGGCTGGGGCAGGGTAAAGGAGCCAATATGAAAGTGTTCTCAATAGCCAAACCTGAAACAATTTTTGAGTAGTACTGGATTTATAATCCAAAGAATGAAATAAATGCCCCTGAGTCCATACTGGTATACACAAATAAGTAAAGAAATAAATAAATGGGGGAGGAACAACAGCTCTTGCTTATAGAAGAATTCCAATTAATAAATGTGGAAGAAATGATAGAAATTTAAAAACTCCATTAGAATACCAGAGTAATAATTGCTACAGGCAAAATCCACTGATGGATGCTAAAATCAGTGATCAAAGTTTAAGCACAAACAGGATATTTGCATAGTCTGTCAGTATCTCCCTCAAATATTTAATATTTACAAAGGAAAAACAGTAACTTTACAGTGGAGAATCCTGGTAGACACCACTTTAACCAAGTGATCAAGGTTAACATCACCAGTTATGCATATCAACATATAATGTGCTCCCTGATGAGAGGCATAAAGAACGCATAACTTCAATGTAATCTTGAGGCAACATCAGACAAAGCCAAATCCAAAGACTTTCTCCAAAATAACTAATCGATTCTCTTCAAAGTGTCAAAGTCATGAAAAACAAGAAAAAATTGAGAAACTACCACAGATTGGACGAGACTAAGGAGACAAGACAACTAAAATGCAAGGAGGGATCTTGTGTTAGATGTGAAACAGAAAAGGTTCATTTATGGAAAAACCAGATGAAATCCAAATCAGTTTATACTTTAGCTATAACTTTATACGAAGGATAATTTCTTAGTTTTAGTAAATGTTTTATGGTTATGATGTCATGATAAGATGTTAACATAAGGTGAAGCTTTGGTAAAGGGCATATTGGCAACCTCTAAGACATCTCCCAATGATTTCTGCTTCCTGATATTCATGCCCTTGTGTAATCCTTAACCCTTGAGGGTAGACTGGAAATAGTGATTCATTTCTATCAAACAGAATGTGGCAGAGTGGTGAGATTCACTCCAATAGGTTACAACAAGACTGTGGCTTTTGTCTTAGGCACCCTCTCTTGCTCTCTCTCTCACTCACTCTGAGGGAAGCTAAGCTGTCATATTTGAGCTGCCTTATGGAAGGAAGGAACTGATAAATAAATGACAAGCAATAGGATATACTGGACCACATGAGGAAGCCATTTGGTGTAAAACTAATTCAGCCTGACCTTGTTTTTCCAAAAGGGCCTGTGGCCTTTGAACACGCATTGTATACCTGCTTTAAGCAATTAACACATCCCAAAGACAAGAACAAATGCCCTTAAGATAAGGATGCAACTTCCCCCACATTGGCATTTCCTTAAGGATAAGCATTTCTCCCTAGGCTAGGATTTGATTGCTGCACTCATCCTGTGACCATCCAACTCGAGACAACAGACCTGCTACCTGCCGTGTCCATCAATTGCTCTGACAGGGCAATCTCGTGACTATTGTAAAAGAGACATTGCAATCATACGTGATATATGCTCTTTGACGGTATATAACCGCTCTGTACACTCCACTTCTTTGGTGCCCTTCCTTCCTTGGGGAAGGAAGGCCCCAGGCTACATAGTCTTCAAATTTGGCTCATAATAAACTCATCCCAATTATAGATTGATTATGGATTAGCTGCGTTGACAGAACTGACATCTGGCCAACAGCCATGTAAGTGAGCTTGGAAGCACATCCTTTCAGTCAAGCCTTGAGATAAGACCACAGTCGCAACCAATACCTTGTTTGCAACCTAGTAAGAGACCCTGAGCCAGAAGCACCCAGCTAAGCTACACCTGGATTTCTGACCCACAGAAACTTTAGGATAATATTTATTGTTTTTTTTTTTTTAATTATTTATTTATTTATTTTTTTCCCCCAAAGCCCCAGTAGATAGTTGTATGTCATAGCTGCACATCCTTCTAGTTGCTGTATGTGGGACGTGGCCTCAGCACGGCCGGAGAAGCGGCCCGTGCCGGGGATCCGAACCCGGGCCGCCAGCCGCGGAGCGCGTGCACTTAACCGCTAAGCCATGGGGCCGGCCCTATTTATTGTTTTAAGCGGCTACATTTCAGAGTAATATGTTACATAGCAAGAGATAATACAGGAATTCTTTCCACTGTTTGTGCAACTCCTCTCTGCAAGTCTAAAATTATCTCACAATAAACAAGTTTAAAAATACTTAATACATATATACTTAACACTTGTTTTATGAAGAGATATATGAATATATACACATATACCCACAGAAAAATGTGTATGTGTATATATAGCTTGAATTATTTATGGACTCTGGAGTCAGACAAACCTAGGTTCAAATGCCACCTCCAACACTTAATGACCATGTTATCTTGGGCAAAACACTTAATTTCTCTAAGTGTTAGGTTTTTAAAATCTATAAATTGAGGTAATAATATCTATCCCTGATGATGAAACTAAGTATAAAATGATATAAGCATCCACTACAATGCCTGGCATTTTGTACGTTCTGAACAAATGACATTATTCTTAGTTCATATTTATAATCATCTATTATTTTCTTCTCATTCAAGGAATTCAGCTCCAATAACTTGGCATTTTATCACTTTGAAGAGTTTAAGTGTTGTATATAAACTTGTCAATGTTTTAATTTCTAAACATTTTTCAAAAAAACTAGTATCGGTAATGATCTCTATAGCACCCTACCATTTATAACACTGAAACCAGAGAAGGACTTTGTTTTTTTTGCTCCAATCCAATTCTCAATTAGCAACCTGTAGAGCTATAAGAGACCTTTCAGCTTTCCAACCCTCTCCTTCCACCATCATCCACATATGAGTGCCAAAGATATTAAATGACTTGTCCAAGAGGATAGATGGTAGTAGAGCTGAAGTAGGATTCAAGATTCAGGGAGACAGTACCATGTGGTGAACAAGCTCTTGATTTGATAAAACAGACTGTATTTGAATGCCCATTCTGCTGCTACAAATAGCATTACTTGAGGCAATGCTGTTTGCTGACAAAGTAGCAATGTCAGTGTCTCAGTTTCCTAGAGGGTAAATTACGATACCACCACCTACCTCATATGGTTATCATGAATATTAAACAAGATAACATATGTAAGTCTCTCGTTGCCATGACTACCACATACGGATGTTGAATAAACATTTTTTCCCTTCCTCTTTTCCAAGCCCAGTGCTCTCCACCATGATATACTGCCTTCTCAACTATAAAGTGGAAATATTAAATACACAGAGTAATTCTGTTTAGCCATACTGGGAGACTCATTAACGTAAAATTGAATTAATGACAGTCTTAAAATTAGGCTGAATAATTTAAATCTAATGGATTTATCCCTGAACTGCGTTTCTCTTCCTACAACACATTGTGAAGTGAGGCGTCACATCAGGGAGCACATTATGTTACTATGCATTACTGGTGATGTTAACCTTGATAACTTGGCTAAAGTGATGTCTGCTGGGATTCTCCACTAGAAAGCTATCATTTTTTCATTGTAAATACTAAATATTTGAGGAGAATCATGAAACGAAAACAGAGAGCGAGCAAGTGCGCGCACAAGCCAGCAAGCAGGACACCAAGCGCATGCATGCAGTCCCTCCCAAAGCCTGGTCTTCAATGAATCTCCAACACAATATATAAGGAATTAGTAAATCGTACCAAGGGATGATCAAGGATTCTTCTCAAAGTAATCCAGTGTTTTAAATACTTGATGGCAAGTCTTGTCAAAAGCCCTTTCAAAGTATAAATATGTTACTTTCAGATGTTCTCTTACTTATGTATTTATCCTTTGAAAGACTTCCAGCAGATCACTCAGATACAACCTCCCCTGAGAGAAATCATACTGCCTTTCCCCCAAGAACTTACATTTGCTTAAGTATTTTAAACCCTTTATCACAAATTCCATCAGCTTGCTTGTGATCACAATGAGACTCACCGATCTGCAGATACCGGAGTCCCTTCTGGATTGGAATATCCTTCCAAATCTGAAATGTTCACTTGTGTTTGCCTTGAGGTTACTATCTGGCTATTCTGAAAAGGTATGGTTTTCAAGTCCTCAGTAATAATATTACCATCTAGAAGAGACTGTACAACTTGGAAGTCCAGTGAAGATTTAGGTCCTAGAAAACCTAAAGGTTCTTGATCCTGTGCTACAGGTTTACTGGTCAATAATTTGGAGGTTGGTTCCAATGATCTTGAAGATATGGTTTGTAGGTCAGAGTTAAACTCACTATTCATCCTTGTTTTAGAAGCAGGATCCAACAAATGAAATCTTTTATCTAAGGTTCCACTATCCAACTTGGAAGGAGTCTTGGGACCAAGAGTTATACGAACACAAGAAAGTGCTTTTCTATTTGAAGGTGGAGTAGATGCAGATGTTACTAACGTACACTGATTTGGGGCTGACTGGGAAACCACATTATTGAACTTGGCTTCAACATTCATATTAGAAATGTGTGATTTAGGCTTATGTTGATTATTCTTTTCTACTACACAGTTCTGACCTTGAGGAAGGGGGGAATCGTGTTTTCTCATGGGATCTACATTTAGGACTTTGCTTTGTTCAAAGAGCTGACGTTGTTCAAGAAAAACAGAAGAAGGAAGGTCTGAAGCTATATAATCCTGACCTTGAGGAAGAGGAGAGTGGTTTTCTCTCATCGGATGATCTACATGTGGGGCTTTGCTTTGCTCAAAGAGTTGTTTTTCAAGAAAAATACGACACGGAAGGTTTGGAGCTACATAATCCTGATGTTGAAGAGAGGGAGAATGGTGTTTTCTCACATGGTGATCTGCATGTGGGACTCTGCTTTGATCAAAGAGCTCTCGTTGTTCAAGAAAAATGTGCAAAGGAAGATCTGGAGTTCTAGTTACAGTCTTCTCTTTTACTCCTAGTGTGGAACTTGGTCTGCCCATGCTCATGAGGGGATGGTTATCAGAAAAATGAACTTCCTTGAAATTGCTACGATTTGCACTGGTACTGGGCTCAGAATGACTGCCTCTAAAATCTGATCTTTCTAAGAGTTTTTCTTCTTGGTGAGAATGTTCAACAGATAATTTTTGGCTTTGCCTACTACTTTCTGCTAAAATAGTCACAGCTTTATCTGGTGAATGACTAATGATTTTAAATGATGAAGGGGAAGAGGTTTTCTGTTTTAGATCTCTAGGAGGATTTTGCTCTTCAGTGAAATGAGAATTAAATACCCCCACAGATGCTCCAGTACACTGGCTACCTTCAGTAACACCAACCTTAAGAACAGAGGAATCTGAAAAGCATTTAGAATGTTGGTGAGATGAAAAAGTGATGGAGGTAGTAAACTTTTTCATGGGTTCTGGGGACACCATCTGTGATGAATTACAATCAATTTCTTCAGGTGGCACACAAGCAGGTTCTAATTCCGACAGCCAAGGGTTCATCTTTTCACGGAATGGCATTCGAAGTCCCCTGCTAATTTTGAAGTCATCAGCTGTAAAGTTTTGAAATGGGGAATGACTTTGTAACTGCAAGGAGTTCCAAACCTCGAAATGGGGGTTGTTCTGATTTAGTGATTTGGAAAGGTTGATGTGCCTGGTTCTCCACAATGATTGGCTCCGATGTCCTCTGATCATTTCTGAGGGATCAGCAGATCTGAAAACACAAGGACGGCTGTCCAGCTGTGGTTGTTCAGCAGTTAGAGTCCTGAAGCATCCTTTTTCATGGCTCTCAATAATAATGTGACTACATACAGCTTCTGGCTTGCATCCTATTCCCCGTGGACTCTGGAAACTCTAGAAGATATAAACAAGTTCTTACTTGAAGTAGTCCAAACAGTTAGTTATATAAAATCAGTTTTATATCCAGGCTATGATTTGACCATGAAGGCCATTTTGATCTTTTACAATAAAACAGATAAGAACAACAAGAAAGAGACAGTTAACCATAGAATAAAATGGCTCTTGATAACTAAGACCATGCAGTTAATTTCTTCTAAAAAATTTTCACTAAAGTAACAAAAGCAAAGACTACTGTTGTCCACCAGTATTCTCACAGTTTTTCTTTTAGTAACAGAAGTCTCTCACTCCAACTTTAGCTGGTCACATGGCCACGAAGCTGGAGACATTTCCAGTTTCTATTGCAGCTAGGTGTGACCATACAACTAGGTTTAGGCCTATAGGATATGCGCAAAAACAGTAAGTACAACTTCTGCTTCCTGTCCTTAAAAAAATCAGGTTCTCGACCTCCATGTTCCCTTACTATCACCATCACTACCATCACCGTTACTCCTGCCAGCTGAAAACGGTGATGTTAGAACAACCTTGGAAGCCACGTGTAAGGACAGCTTGGCTGCCCCGTCAGCTTGGGTCCTTGGATGACCTCAAGGCGCAAAGCTCCCTTTCCTATCCTGGACTATCACATGAAAGAAAAATAAAACTCTACCTTATTTGAGCCATTGTATTTTGGGGTTTCTTTGTTACATAAGCTTGGCCTACACCCTAGTATTTTACCACAAACAACAGGAAAAACAACTAGTACCTCTTCCTGGGGTATAGGATCAGTGCCTAAAGCTACCATTAGGATAAAATTTCTTAGAGATTTCTGTGTTTTATCTATAAAGTCATAACTTGGCATTCTACTTGATGATATAGCCACATTTGATTTCATATAAAAACATTTTAAATTATGCTTCCACTTCCCACATAAGAGAGTAGATGTATTTCTCCCTATTCCTCCTGCTAGGTACAACTAAAAATGCTGGACATCACATATAAAACAAACTTAAGAAGAAACTGAAAGATGTAGAGAAGAAGGTAGACTGGCTAGGGACCTTGGGACCTGAGGAATGACATGGTAAGTGAGATCCCTGGGGTTTCTCTTTACTTCATATATCCCAGACTTGGAGCTGAAGAAGCCAGCAACACAGGAACAAAGGGCACAGACAAAAGCTCTAAAAAAAAAACCTGCTCTCATTATCCAAAAAAACACTAAAGGTGAAGTCTAGCAGGACAGAAAACTTTTAGACAATAACTGCTCTATTTCAGCCAAACACCACAGAAAAAAATTCACACCCACACAAGCAAAGGCCAAGTGAGGAGCCTAGACTTCTACCCTTGCAAAACTATACTGAGGCACCTCAACATCCAGGCCAACATGGTACTAGAGATGGCCAAGTAGGAGCCCAGGACTTATTTTCACCCCTGCTGGCTAGTAATGAGCTAATCCTTACGTGGTGTCAGTGGTGTCAGTGGAGACCACATGGGAAACTGGACTTTCATTCCCACTCAGAAATAATGAGGTGCCCCATTCTCTCCCAGCTACAGACTGGAAAAAAATATTTGCAAATTCCATATCCAATAAAAGACTTGTATCTAACATATAAAGAACTCTCAAAACTCAACAGTAAAAAAAAAAAGACAATCCAATCAGAAAAATGGGCAATAAACATAGACATTTCACTGAATAGGATAGAGATGGGAAATAAGGGCATGAAAAGATGTTCAACACCATTAATCATTAAGGAAATGCAAATTGAAACCACAATAAGATATCACTCCATACCTATCAGAACGGCTAAAATAAAAAATAGAGACAACACCAAATGCTAGTAAGGCTGTGGAGTAACAGGATCACTCACACATTACTGGTGTGAATGTAAATGGTTCAACTACTCTGGAAAATGGCATGGCAGTTCTCAAAAAACTAAGCATACAACTACCATATGACCCAGTGATAGCACTTCTGTTCCCACAGAAACAAAGACTTATGTTCACCAAAAACCTGCACATGAATGTTTATAGCAGCTTTACTTGTAATAGCCAAAAACTGGAAAACAATCAAGATGTCCTTCAATAGGTGAATATTTAAACAAACTGCAGTATATCCATACCATGGAATACTACACAGCAAAAAAAGGAACAGACCAGTGATACACACAACAACCTGGATATTCTCCAGAGAATTATGCTGAGTGACAAAAGCCAATATTAAATGCGGCATATCATATGATTTCACTTATATAACATACTTGAAATGATAAAATTATAGAAATGAGACCAGACTAATGTTTGCCTGGGGTTAAGAGAGCGGTGGGGGCAAGAGAGAAGCAGATGTAGCTATTACAGGGCAACATAAGGGACCCTTGTGGCAATGTAAATGTTAAGTATCCCGACTGTATCAGTGTCAATATCCCGGTTGTGATATATTATTACAGATTTGCAAGATGTTACCATTGGTAGAAATCGGGTAAAGGGTAAAAGCAATCTTTCTGTATTATTTACTACTGCATGTAAATCTACAATTATTTCAAAATAAAACGTTGAATTTTTTTTAAAGCCAATAAATTAATTAAACACCACTTGATAAAACTAAAACTTTAAAAAGCCATTTTTATTCCATGGCTTTTTTTGTGTGTGAGGAAGATTAGCCCTGAGCTAACATCAGTTGCTGATCCTCCTCTTTTTGCTGAGGAAGATTAGACCTGGGCTAACATCCGTGCCCACCGTCCTCTACTTTATATGGGATGCCGCCACAGCATGGCTTGACAAGCGGTGCGTCAGTGCGCGCCCGGGATCCGAACCTGCGAACCCCTGAAGCGGCGCACACACACTTAACCACTATGCCACTGGGCCAGCCCCTCCATGGCTTCTTATTACCCTGACACTACTTGACATACCACTGGGAAATGAATACTCCAATTTGAGAAACATAAACTTAGCTAGCCTCTTAAAACTGGGTATAAATAGATTTATACTCATTCCAAAAGATATTTCTTCCTTCTTTCCAACAATCCATATCTTACCCTTTTTTTTTTAACATCCCTCACCTCTTCCCAGCTTTATAATAATTATAAACATCTTTTATACTAAATTTTCCATTTTGAAAATTCTTGTAGCTTTAGTATTTGGCAAATAAATTTTAGTATATTCATATAACCTTTTCCAGATAAGCTATAAAAACTTTTTTTTTTTTGTGAGGAAGATCAGCCCTGAGCTAACATCCATGTCAATCCTCCTCTTTTTGCTGAGGAAGACTGGCACTGGGCTAACATCCGTGCCCATCTTCCTCCACTTTATATGGGACGCTGCCACAGCATGGCTTGACAAGCGGTGCCTTGGTGCGCACCCGGAATCGAACTCGGGTTGCCTGCAGCACAGCGTGCACACTTAACCGCTAGGCCACGAGGCTGGCCCTATAAAAACTTTTATTACATCCCAACAATGATTAACTAGCTATGTAACAGGCTCTTAAAAGCTACTGCTTAGCTGAACAAAATCCAACACTCTTTCATGATAAAATCACTCAGCAAACTACAAATGAAAGGGACTTTCTCAACCAGATAAAGGGCATCTATAAAAGATGCATAGCTAACATTACACTAAATGGTGAAAGACTAAATGCTTTTCCCTTAGGACAAGAACAAGACAAATATGTCCATTCTTCCACTTACATTCAACATCATCCTGGAGGTTCTAGCCAAAGCAAGCCAGAAAGCAATTAAAGAAATCCAGATTGGGGGCCGGCCCCTTGGCTTAGCGGTTAAGTGCGCGTGCTCCGCTACTGGCAGCCCGGGTTCGGATCCTGGGCGTGCACCGACACACCGCTTCTCCAGCCATGCTGAGGCCACGTCCCACATGCAGCAACTAGAAGGATGTGCAACTATGACATACAACTATCTATTGGGGCTTTGGGGAAAAAAAAAAGGAGGAGGATTGGCAATAGATGTTAGCTCAGAGCCAGTCTTCCTCAGCAAAAAGAGGATTAGCACGGATGTTAGCTCAGGGCTGATCTTCCTCACAAAAAAATAAAGAAAGAAATAAAGAAATCCAGATTAGAAAGGAAGCAATAAAACTATCTCTATTTACAGATGACATGATCTTCTACATAGAAAATCCCAAGGAAACGACACAAAACCAACTAGGACTAATAAACAAGTTCAGCAAAGTTGCAGGATGTGAGCTCAATATACAAAAATCAACTGTATTTCAATACACAATGAACAATCCAAAAATGAAATTAAGAAAACAATTCCATTTACAATAGCATCAAAAAGAATAAAATGCTTACGAATATATTTACCAAATAAGACTAGTATACTACAAAACATTGTTGAAAGAAATCGTAGAAGGTCAAAATAAATCGAAAACTGGCCCAATGGACTGGAAGACTTAAATATTGTTTAGATGGCAATACCTCTCATACTGATCTACAGATTCAAGGCAATTCCTATCAAAATCCCAGCTTGTATTTTTTGCAAAAATTGACAAGCAGATCCTAAAATTCAGGTAGAAATTCAAGGGACCCATAGTAGCCAAACCAATCTTGAAAATGATGAACAAAGTTGGAGGACTCACTTTCTGATTTCAAAACTTACTACACAGCTACAGTAATCAAAACAGGGAGGGTGGTACTGGTACAAGGATAGACATATAGATAAAGGGAATAGAACTAACAGTACAGAAATAAATACGAACATTTATGGTGAATTGATCTTCGACAAAGAGGCCAAGAAAATTCATGGGAAAGACTTATTTTTTCAATAAACAGTGCTGGGACAACTGAATATCCATGTGTAAAAGAATGAATTTGCACTCCATACATAAAAATTGCCTCTAAGAGGACAGGCAACAAAAGCAAAAATATATAAATTGGACATCAAAATTTAAAACTTCTGTACACCAAAGCACACAATGAACAGAGTAAAAAGGCAACCCACAAAATGGGAGAAAACATTTGCAAATCATGTATCTGATAAGGAGTTAATATCTAGAATATATTCACAACTCAAAATGAA